AGGCGTTTATTTGCTTTTGGGCAGCCATCGGTAAAATATTGTCCGACGGTAAACAAGATTGTCCGGTGGATCCATCCGTACCGTCTGTAAGACTGCTTTGTCGATCGGATACCGATCGTCAGTATTGGACATTTATGGAACAAGGATAATAAAGTTTTAAAGTTGGCGTTTTTGAGCAATTGTTACAGCTTCTATAGAGTATAGGCATAGAAAGGAAAACGCTCTAAGCATGAAATTAAAACAGCATATCTGCATTCTTGAAGGACAATGTAGTGCTTTGTTTGTTGGTTTTACTCGTTTATGAATGTCGAAACTGAAATACAGCCAAATTTTAATGATGGCAGAGAGTTTCCACTCCTAATACCCCAGCCAGGACCAGGATGTGCTCTTCTGTTTAAACCAAGAGGTTAGCTCAAAGTTACGCCACTGCTTTAAACAATCATCCCCGAAACTTTTGAAAAGTCAAAAGAATACCTTTGTGCATGTCGATAGTCCTAAGTCGTCTAGAATCGCCCTAATTCGCTAGGGCCGTCGCTATGTAATGGTTAGAGCATGGTCACGTGTGCTCTATGGGATATACAGGGTGTCCCAAAAAACCCGAAAACTATTAAAATCACTTTTTGTTAAAATTGAATGCCCTTCCAAACAGCTGAACGTAATGATGCGTAAAATATTGACAAGTACATGTATTAAAATTTAGTTAAGAACATCTTGTAAAGTGCGCGATTTTCTGCTCTTGGGAATTAAAGCAGCTTCTCAGTAAACAGTTTCTTTATGCATAAAATTTACTTATGTCAATCATTTATGCACTCGTGGGAACCAACAGAGTGTTAAGGCATTCAAATTCTAACAATTAAATTGTTATTGGTGATTTCAATAGTTTTCGGGTTTTTTGGGACACCCTAGAGTCCACTAATGAATTCAATAGAGTGGTTAATGAATTCAATAGAGTGGCTAATGATTTAATCTTTTTATTAAACCTTTTGTTTTCTTAACCCCACATTTTCCCTACGCTTCAAAGCCCTCGCCACTTGATGATTTAACACACTATGAGATATAGAGCAATGAAATACTCGAAGCTGAGTGGGTGCAGTCATTCTCTAAGGGGGGGGGGGATAAAAATGCACCATTCAACCGTAGCAGTGGCTATCGCCCCTCTTTCCTGCCTCGTCTGGGCTTCTCCACCATATTTTTGAAGATGAGGTACAGTTCTTTCTGCAAATACATATACAATCGTATTAAGGTGGCAGTTAACCCTAAATTGTCCGAAACCATAAAATTGCCATAGTTTTTATAATATATAATTGATTGGCACAAAATTTGGCACAATCTTAGTATAGATAATTCTGAAATATTTGATGTCGCATCACACACTTTTTAGTTGCCATGGTAACGAAAAATAAACGCGTCATCGAGAGGAATTTGTGGAAGCAGTATCTCAAAAGGGAAAATAGTTACAAAGCCCAAACTTTCTGATGTTACTTCATAAGATGTGCAACCAGTAGACAATTTTTTATTTGATCAAAACGAGCGACAAAAAAACACCGTTTCCATGGTAACAAAGGAAGTATCGCAATTTTTGAAAAACTGTCTACTGATTGCATAAAGCTACATTAAATCTACATACTGTCCAAAAATCAGGTAATTCCATTTAATTCTCTTCTGTTGATCCTTTCCACAAATTCAGAACACTATAACTTTTTCGTTTTGAGAAAATCGAGGTTAAAATAGTAAACACATTTGAATCAATTTTCAACCCGATTATGAGGGACTATTTGGATAAAGTCAACTATAATGTCAAATACTCACAATTCTTAACAATAAATTCACTTATGATAGCTTAGGGTTCATAAAGTATCTCAATAATATGTTTAGACATACCAACTGCTCACAACCGAGTTCTGTGTTTAAGTTCTGCGTTTTTTGGTATGACCGATTACTTCCATAGTAAGCATAACAAATTTGATCTGGACCATGGCAGTTCTTTTCCTTTTCTTAGGTTTTTCCATAGGGATATCTGGTTGTGCACTCAGGCTGAATCCACCAGGTTGGTGTGCAGTCTTGTCAGCTTTCGACTTCCGTTGTGCACGAAGTTTCCGCCTTTGATCTCGGTACTTCAAGCTTACTTTCTTGGCCGCATTCTTGATTCTAATCCAATCTTGCAGTCTTAGTGCTCTCATGGTGTTTATACCTGGGGTAAGACCACACAACTCCATAACAGCTGCTTTGCTTGCAGCACCAGTATTGAAGAGAGTCACTGTTTCACATACGCCACAAAACTTTGGTTTCGGACATCGAGATCAAAGCATTTCATTGCAGCTTCATTTTGATTTTGTGTCATTCCTTTTAGACACCTATTTAGAAGATCACCCTTTGATAGTCTTGAGAAAATTTGTTCAAGTTCTTTCATAAACAAGTCTGGCAAACGATTGTCATCGTTATATGTTGATGTGCCTTTTGTTTTGTCTTTCCAGTATTACACCAGGTATCGCCAGACTTTGGGCAGTACTGGTGCTGTTGATCAAGTGATTCATTGTTGTTTATCATGTGATTCTGGATAGCCTTAATGCTAGTTTGTATTCCTTTTAGATCTCCTTTATTTTCCCTGATAGCTTTGCCATAAAAGTTCTGCATTCTGTCAATCACCTTGTCTGTCAACCGATTCTTACCTCCAACTGTTTTTCCATCCGATAACATTTTCCCTTTCATGTCAGACTTATACTTTCTCAGAGCAGTCCCTATAGTCTCTTTTGGACATGTCCAACACATTCTTCTTTGACTATAACATACTCAACACCAAATTTTTTCTCTAGTGCTTCCTTTACCCGACCAAAGCTACTGCTGTCTCCGTGTCCCACAATTCCCTCGATGAAATACTGCGACTAAATATTTCAAATGCAGAAGTAGCTTTCAAATATTTCCTCAGATGACCCGTGATGATTAATTTGGCACCTTGTCTCATGTGCCTGCTTCCATTCTTTATACTTGTCCGAATCCTTATCATCGTCATTGTGAGCCTTGCACTAGTACTCATGGCAGAAAAGAGACTTCACTGTATAATCCAAAATCTCACCAGTGTCAACTGAAATAAAAAAAATGACTCTTGCATTTGCTGCTCAGCATTTCCAATGGCTGCTTTTTCATTGATCACAGGAGGAGGTAAATTCATTGCAGCACAAAAGTTAGTTAGTCGGCTTAGTCCACTTTGTCCCACAGATGCCAACAGACGATTTACATCATGTGCCCCTCCACCTTTTCCACCCAAACGTTTGCTTGCTGACAACGAGGTTTCAATCTTGCAAGATGAAAATTTCAAAAACAAAGACTCCGACAATCCGACAAACCTTCTCTTTCATTATTTCTCTGAAACAGTTGGAGCTTAGAAGAAGGTTTACAGCAGGAGCTACAAACTGCCGCATCTGAGATACACTTGCTCAAAAGTTCGGCATCCTGTAGTTTGTAGCCAGAACAACGTCTACACTGGACACGGGTCCTAGACTGACGTGTCGCGCTTGTTGACGAGTGAAAACATGTTCATTGTTCTCAAATTTTTCAAACGAGCTGTTTAGCAACTTTTTTGTTGAAATACTTTCCCTTTCCGAAGGCAAAACAGAGGTAGAAATGCCAGTAACGGCCGCGGAACTTTCAGGATTCAAATGCGTAATGCTATCGTTGTTCACAGATGTCGAAGTTTCTTGCGGTCTTTTCCCAAAAAATCCTCTCATTTTCTTTCTCTTTGTCGATCTAAACTTTCTTTTATCATCTCTAGCCATATTTATAAAAAAAACCTAAAAAAAACGTTGTCTAATATACTCGATTGAAATGGATTTATCAGTGTTCACTTTTTGTGTTTGTCAGCCATATTAGCATTTCAAAACAAAAACACGTTGCGTTTGAACTTGGAGGTCTGGACACAAGTTAAAAGCTCATTTTCAGAGGGGATAGGGTCAAAATGACCTTAGCAACAAAAGTAAACAAACTCTTGTAGTTGGTTGCTATTCAATTTTTAGCTACATTCCATCAGATATACCAGCATTGCAGGTAAAATCGCGCGAAAGTCACAAAATAAAGATCGCTGATTGAAAATCATAATAATTTTCCTATCTTGTGAAGCAAAAAAAAAATTCAAAAAGTTCTGGCTCTTCATAGAAATTTAGCGCTAACTAGAGTCGCCTGATCATGAAACCGAAATCTGTACAGTCACCATTATTTATAAAGTTAAGTAATCGGGTAGAAAGAATGTAAACAAAGCTGACGGATCCAAAGAGACTGACTTTGTCAGTTGCTTTAGCGATGCTATCAACAAGTTTGGGGATATTACGAAAATCCAAGACATGGGTCTAAAATACTGATGTACAATTTCTAAGTTTGTATTCTTCCAGCACGTTTTGGAGGCCTGAAAAGACACTGATCAATGATGCCCCAAAATTTGCAACCATGCAGATCATTATGAACGCATTAGCAATCACGTGATGTAGCCAATATTTCATCCAGACGTTTTGCATGGGAATGTCATAATAATGAATTTGAGTGAACACAGAAATTATGTTAAATGCAAAATCTATGGCCATACTTATGGCTATCCTGATTAAAGAACCTTTTATGACTTGCCAGACTGGGACATCGAAGCTCATTACGATAAAACAAGCTAAATATGCTTGACTTAAGATGATTGCAGTGTACTCGAATAAGATATTCTGAATTTCAAGATCCGCTTTGAATCGACGAATACGCGGCGAATTTAAAGATTGCACTTCTAACCTTGGCCCACAGCATGTTCTATTGTAGCATTTAATGATAAACGTCCAAATTTTTATTCGAATGTTGAGAGTTCCTTTACTCAAAACGTTTGATACTCCATGTAAGAGCGACAAACCAATGAAAAGCCAGATATTTTGGAAGCCCGACTGCATCGTTCGGTAAAGTATAATCATACCTCCACGTAGAAAATAACACAGTACATAAGCACGATCTGGGCTAATAATCTCCGAGCTCTTTCTGAGCACAAGGTATTTTGCAATCGCAGTCAACGGCAAAAATAACCCTGGCGTGAGTGCGGCGATGACGGCCTTCTTAATCCTGCCTTTAGTTTCCTCAAAATACTTGATAATAATATAGCGATATGTAAACGAAACCAGACAGCAACCCAGGAAAGCGAACGAAAGAATGACAGAAATACGAAAAGCACCGTAGGATGTTGCCGGGTTGACTTTCTTGAATTTACGAGCAACCAGATAAGCACCACAAAGGATGGAAAATATAAATAAGGCGTTCCCTGGTAATCTGCATGAAGAAAAAAAATGTCAAGATTTGTTTGTGCAACCTACGGGAAGGAGCATTTTTTGTTACAAGCATAATGATATACATGGAAATGTTACTCGACTGTAATTCACTGTTTGATTTCAGTGCATTTCATCCCTAATAATATACATAAAGATATTACTCGACTGTGATTGGTTGATTTCAGTGCAGTTAATCCCAAACAGCAGTGCAATTTTCTGTAATCACAGTGCAATTTTCTGTAATCACAGTGCAATTTTTTGTAATCACAGTGCAATT